CAGCTATGTTGCTGACTGCTTTGGTGTACGCGTCTAAAGATTGTTATCTTACTTGACCTTCTCGAATCAACTCATTTTTAAGAAGGGATGCCTCTCGACTTAATGTGGGCAGTGTAAGTAAGCTAAAGTTAGCACACATCTATTTCTCTCAGTGTGCTTGTTTTGTTTATTATTACAGCAAGTATCAGAAGTATTGGGGCAGCCAATTTGCAAACTCGCTAGCGAATTGGCTAACTGCTTGGGTTTTGACTAAACAATTGGCTTTTGAATCTCACTGGCGCCGATTCGTGGTCGCGTCCACTCTGGACGAGTCTATATTGCATTAGGGGACATAGAATGTTTTTACGTAGCCTGGAATCGCTTTGTTATGCGAGACGTTATAATGTATAAATAGTTTCTCTGTAGTCATAGTACAAATGTAAAGTAAACAAAATTATCGAGAGTGATTTTGGATTTGTTAAAAAAATAGCCGAAATGCTGTGACATTGTCTAATTGGTGATGGGAATCGCCAAGCCAGTGTATAAAATAGTGAACAGAAATTTTCGTAAATATACTGACTGCGAAAGAAGCCCGTCGCGAAGTGTCTTGTATATATGTATTGCAAATATTATACTATAGAACGGTATATCTCTCTTGGAGGATGTAGTGACCCTGAAAAGAGACACTTTGTTTAGATTTTCTTAGTATATAGCGGACTATATTTGAAATCCGCAATGTTGGAAGAAACCTCTAGAAAGTTCTGGCGTGTTCATGTCCAGGGCATCCAGAATAGCGAGTTCAGTAAACCGATTAGCAAATACGTCATTTCTTTTCAATTCTCGTTTTAAATGTCGAAAACAAAGCTCGCAGGTATTAAATTGTGGGCTATATGGAGACTGAACAAGAGGGTGACTTGTCTGGCATCGAGCATCTCGCATAGAATGGATTCAGTGAAATAATCGTCATGAAAACCACAATTGTCTATTACAACAGTGTTGCCTTCACCAATAAACAGCTGACCATCTACAACTTCTTCATTCAGTGCCTCCTCCCATTTGAAGGACCGCGGATAATATTGTAATGGGTCACACCAAGCGGGCTATGCAATAAATTCACGGTAAAATTTATGTTGGATGTGTATCTTTGCACTTCCACCGGCTGACCGACTGAAACATGTCTATAGACACGATTACCCGCCGTGTGTTTCACTCCCGCCGTATCAAAAATGTTCGGAATAGATGTAATTTTTTTTATATGAGTAGTCTAAATCTCGCTTCAATGTGTGGTATATGGTTCTTGCGTATGGCAGCGTGTTGGGCGTACACACACCCTCATCCAACAGCGTTCCTTTCACTTCCCTAGCTGACATAGATGCTTTGTTGGCCTTCAAAAACTCAGTAAATTCCACTACTTCGGGGGTCGCCTTTGTACGTGTTGATCGGTCGACTTAGAGGCACGAGTTGATCCCGTTTCTCGAGTTTTTTGACTATGCCGTGTATAGTACTCATCGACCTCCCAGTCTCATTGTGGCTAAATATTGCAGCGAAAATCCATTCAGCCTCTGACGTACTATATATGACCAGGTTGTAGAATCAACTAACCTAGAATTTCGCATTGTGAAAATATTAAAATAGTCGTGAAAAAAATGTACTTACATTTTTCCGATAACACTTTATTGGACAACACAATGTAATGTAATAATAAACACAAACTTGCGCGCAAAACTTCAACAGATAAAACGTTCCATTATAATGTACATACAGTGTCCTATATTTTGATATCTCATACATAGTAATATATGGCAACGTACACGGAATATTCAAATACATTGAAATTGGGGGTGTAATCCTTGATCCGATTTTCAGAACACTTGACT